CTAAAACATAGCTTTATTCTCCTACATATAATAAACCTCTAGTAAAAATTTCTAGGTAATTCCTTGAGTTTTCAGCGGGCTGAATCATTTTAAAGTTGATTAATTTTTAATAAATATATCGTAATTAACGTTAAATTGATATCGATATGTTATATGGAGATTTTCATTCATGTAACATGAAAATCTGTCATAGTTTTGATTTATTTAGTTGAGTTACCACCCTAGCGCTAGTGCTAGTACGTACGTACGTACGTACGACTATGTAATAAACTGATACAGTAATAACACTAACTAATGGTGCACCAAAATGTGACTTTGTATCACTTTGGTTGAATATTAAATGTCTTTCGGACAACACTCTTTTTATTTATTTGCTTAGCATAATTTTGTCTTTTAGCACTTTTAAAATGATAGAATTACCGAACGATCGCCTTGAGGAAATATTTAAATACCTTAAAAATTATCCCAGACACTTATTTACATGTCTTCTTGTAAACCGTCAATGGTGTAGAATTATTGTTCCAATATTGTGGAGTGAACCATTAAATTACTGCAGTGATAGAAAACTTATAAGCATATATTTGTTATCATTAAATGCTGAAGAAATGACGTTATTAATTCCACTAAATATATCACTTCCCAATAATTCAAAACTTTTATTTGAGTATACATCTTACTCTACTTATATCGATGACTTAAGTTTAAACAAAGGAATCTTACATTATCTCTACAAAGAGGAATTTGAATGTTATGGTTTCAGTCAATTTTATGAAATGTGTGAAGATTATGCTAATGTGGTTAAAACAGTCGAATATTCTTTAATTAAAATGTTAGCCCGAACAAGTAAAAAAATCAAGCATTTAAATCTCACTCAAATCTATAATTTTGATGGAATTTATAATAACTTTGATGAAATTTATGGTAACAGTAACAGAATAGAGAAAACATTAGAAGATTTTTTTTACGAAAACGCCACTATTACTTCATTAAAAATTTCTGACATGGTATTTAATCTTAAAGTCATAAAGGCATTGTCAGATATTCTTTGTAAAAATGGTAAAAATGTCGGTT